GCTTTGCCAACATCCAAAAGGAAATCTCATCTTTCAATTCAATGTCTCATCTTAATGGACAATAAACTTTTGCATACCACTTTTCAGTATTAAAAAGAAGGTATATAAATAAGGCCAGACATGGTAGCACACACCCTTGATCCCAATACTCAAGCAGCAGAAACAGGCAGATCTCTGTGAATTCACAGCCAGCCTGGTCTACAAAGGGAGTACCAGGCCAGTCAGGGCTACATAGTGAGACTCTGACTCAAAAAAATAAAAAAGTAAGTAAATAGAAAGAAAAACATCTCTCATAGTCATAAATTCTTTAATCCTATATTCCTAGCACTCTAATGAACAAAATTTGAGGACTGATTCCAAAGTGATCATTCGTTTATTTTCTAATGGTAAAAAGAAATACCTCAGTGGAATGGACAAATACTGCTCACTCCATGGGGTGAGCGTGGTCCTTTTGCTTAAAATTCAAGGGCAAGTAGATTATATTGTCTTGCTCTCACTCAAAGGTTTAGTGCTCAATGCCCCTTTCTTGCCAATAAAAAAATGCATCTCTTCCCTTATTAATAAATTAATAGGAATAAAAACTATAAATGCATATATAAATAATAAATATACATAAGTGGATATCAATGCTCTTTAAAAGAAACTCTTGAGTTGCTTCTTTCTACTTCCTAAGCCCTATCCTCTGTCACTTTAACGCAAGGCCTGGCAGGGTCTAGGTCCAAACTAGATCCATTATCTCCCCCAAAGTTCCAATATGTCTAACTTAGAGAAAATGACCTTCTAGGTTCTGTTTTTGTTTTTTTTTTTTTAAAGAAAAAATCATTTGTATTTCAATAGTCTCAGAAAAATAATGCCTAAATCCAAATGCACCTGGCCCACAAACCTTTTTTTATTGATTGATTGATTGATTGACTGATTGAGACAGGGTCTCCCTGTGGCCCCAACTGGCCTGGAACTCGCTATGTACACCAGGCTGGCCTTGAACTCACAGAGATCCATCTGCCTCTGCCTCCCAAGTGTTGAGATTAAAGGCATGTGCCACACCTGGCAAACTTTTATTCTTTTAAAGCAGATAACTATCCGATAGAAGAACACAAGTACACTTCCTTCGAAAAAGATGTAGACAGAGATTTCTTTGAGATAATTTAGAAAATAGTTATGACATTAGAGAAATCTAGTGAGAGGAAAATAATGTAAAAATATACCTATGGGTTATGGGTTATGAGGTAGAAAAAATTCTCCAAGTTTTCAAGATTCTTCTGGCAGAAAGTTCTTTGGAATCATTTTCTTCTAAGAGATGAAAATTTTTCTAAGCTTCCAGTTCTAAAAATAATCTTTCTGATCTCTGGAAAAGCTAAATTCAACTTTTAATAGCACTATGTACTTTTTTTCTTGGGAGGGGGCTTTTTGTGTTTTTGAGACAAGGTCTCCCTGTAGCCCCAGCTGGCCTGGAACTTGCTATGCAGACCAGGTTAGCCTCAAGGTTCTGCCCTCTGGCCACTGGCCTCTACCTCTGCCTCCCATCTGTGATTAAAGGTGTGCACCACCATGCCCAGCTAGCACTGTGTACTTTTGTCTTTAAAGAAAAAAGTAAAAGAACCAGAGCCAAACAGCTTCTTAAACTGGGGTTGCAAGATATGGGGTCATGCAACTGAATGTGTGGGTTGTGAAAATTTGGCAACTTTAAAACACTTCTGGGGCTGGGGAGGAAGTTTAGTCAATAAAGCACTTGCTGAGCAAGCATGACCATCTGAGTTCAGATCCCCAGCACCTACGGGAAAAGTGATATATGGTGGCACATGCCTGTAATTCCAATTCTGGGGAGCCTAAGACAAGAGGATCCCTGGGGTTTGATGTCGGTTAGTCTAACCAAAGTTCAGGTTTGCTGAGAAACCCTGCCTAAAAAAAAAGTGATTGAGGAAGACACTTAACATCTGGCCTCCACACACATGCACATGTATACACACACACAAGCACACAGAGTTTCTGCTATACAATAACCAAAATTTAATACAAAAATCAAATGCATAATGAATCTGAGTTGACTTTGGCAACACCTACTCATGTTGTATTGCACAACTTCACTGTAGACTTGGTTCTGAACATACAACATGCTCCTTTGCACTGTGCATGCAATCACTCCATTTAATGGCATGGAATGCTGCTTGAAAACAACTTTGGCTCAGATCTGAGACACTACATGTCACGAACTGCAATGTTTTTACTATAATACAAACTTTTCCTGTTCTTACAGAAACAAAATGGTTTAATTATAGAGAACGAAGATATTTCCTATCATACTTTAGCATGTCAGTATCAAATTAGTATATCTTTAGATTGTATTTTGTTGAAACATTCGATTGCTATTGGAGTTGCTGACAAGTTTCATTTTTAAAAATTATCCAATGGAGTTGGAAGGAGGGACTATGATCAACATATGTTGTATGACACTCTCAAAGAATTAATTTAAAAATTGAAAAAAGAAATCATCCAAAGGATTTTGGCCTGAGATTAGCTCAGAATTTAAACAACTTTTGAAATGGCCCTACACATATTTTTACCACTTTACACAGGTATTTATTTATGCAAAACAGCATTCTCAGCACAGACAATTATAAATTCAAAATACTAACGAACTCTGAAAAATGTTGAAGATGCTGTAAGTCCTTCAGTACCAACTATTTGGCCAAAATCCAATCCTTCACATAAACATAAATAAATACATACATACCAGTATGCAAATTAGCTTTAGTTTTAAATAAATGGTAAAAAAATTATATGCGTACCAAAGAATTTTAAAATACATTTACAATTTATTATCAGTAATTTTTATTTGTACTCCTATTTTATATACCTATATACCAAGCACTGCATAAAAATTTCTTAAGTGAGCCAGGTGTGGTGGCACACACATTTAACCTCGGCACCTGGAGGAGAAGCAGGCAGAGCTCTATGTTAGTTTGAAGCCAGCCTGGTCTATACAGGGAGTTCCAGGCCACTACATAGTGAAACCCTGCCTCAAAAAGCCAACCCCCACCCCTCCAAAAATAAAGCCTCAAGCAGTGGATGAAGTTTAAGAAGCCCTAAATGACTTCACTCATGCCTCAAGCTATACATAATAATTGCACAAGACACACAAGGAAGGGTTCATTTATTTTCCTTTAAAGATACAACACCCACACACTTGCAACACATATTAATGTAATTTAGAAATAAGGAACACAGCATCTCCCTTTCTTCCAAAACCTAGTCATCACCCCAACAGCAAATAAATAAACAAACAAAAACCTGAAGAGACAGAAAATTTCTATTACAAGCAAGATGGCTTAAAAGTTTTTAACACCAGAATAGACTGCACCAACAGTAAATATTTAAATGTCAATTTAAAATAATCTAAGCCCCAAAACTTTATCAGTCTACAGACTGATAAATTTTAAATTTTCACAGAAGGTAATTTTAATCTTTCTATATGAGAACACAGTAAATAGGTTAAATAATGTGCTCAAGGAGTATTTCATAATTTAAACATGATTTTGAAGTTGTCAAGGTACAATTAAAGTCTAATAGGAAAGTATATGTGGGCTTCAAAGAGCACTTAGAGAAATACAAAGATGAGAAGCTAGAAGTTAAGAGAGTTCACTGGGAAATAAATGCCCAGTGGTGAAGCAAATGACTGGAAATCAACAGAAGGCCTTACAAGGATGTGGCTCTGCCTTATCTCTGATCCTAAAACTTTCCTTGGATACTCTGGGACCACATGACTGTTTTTTAAAAGTTCTGTGTCATATTTATTTTTCCTTCTAACCTTTATAAGATGTCTGATGACCTCTTAGTCCCACAATTCACACACTCCAATTATCTATCCAACAATGTACTCAGAAAGGTAATCAGGTGCTTAAAGTTATTATTTTTTCCTTCAAAACAAGGAAAATAATGAGGGTGTTAGGATTTTAAATCGATCAGGTTATTTATTAGGGACATACCCACAGTAAACAGGCAATGTCAGCATTCAGCTATTGATAACTGCTAAAGCAATAAAAACGGTTATTTTTAAAAGCAATTTCTTTTGTAGATGTATACCAATTCCCTTCTTTTACACTTGATCTTACCCAAAAGGCCAAGAAGCTATCTAAGTCACAGATTTTAAGAAAAGTTGTGTTATAAACACCCATTTCCACATGAAGATGCATTTCCCTGGGGAAAAGCTTAAGTCGTGCTTCATTTCTGATGCTGGCCAACAAATACCTAATTTTTTAGTCCATAAATATACTGACATATCAGTACAGTGAAGAACTGAACTGGGTAAAACTACTTCATTTGAAAGGACAAAAGACTGGCAAGGGCTCAAAAGAAAATGGGGTCACCATAATCCAAAAGAGACATAAAATTATATACAATTTGTCACAACAAGGTTCAAGGTTTTCCAAAAGCTAGCAAAGTAGTTGTCTATGACCCACAAAGGAAAAAAGTTCTACTACCATAAAATCTATTGTTTCCTATAAAACCCTAAGGTAGAGTTTCAGTTTACTAAGGTTGATCTAATCAACTATGTAATTTCACCTACTTTTTCCCTTCCTCTATGTTCAAAATCATGTGCCCACAGCTAAATCTTTAAGTACTGCACTGGTTAGTTTTTGTCAACTTGACACAAACTAGAGTCACCCGGGAAGAGAGAACCTCAACTGAAGAAATGCCCAGTTTGGACTGGCCTGTGGCCATGTTTCTGAGAAAGGCAGAGGATATATGTCAATAAGCAGCATTCCTTCATGGTCTCTGCTTCAGTTCCTGCCTCCAGGTTCCTGCCTTAGCATCCCTTGATGATTGACTGTAACCTGTAAGCCAAATAAACCCTTTACTTCCCAAAGGTGTTTCTGGTCATGGTGTTTATTATCAACAACAGTAAAACAGTACTTTACTTCTTTTGGTGTTTCCAAAACATTAGTTAACATATTAGCAACTAGGTTTCTTTTTTTTTTAAATAGAAAGCTTTTTCCACTTACCCCTCCTGCCTTCAGCAACTTTCTTCTAAAATCCTCTGTGGGGTTGTTGAAAGTTAGCTTTTCACAGCGGAGGTGATTCACTGGAGGATGGCCTTCAAGATGCAGGAATAAGTCATAATCAAAGCGGACTTTCTTAGGTTCTTCCTGGAGGTTAAAATAATTAAGAGGTAAAAATAGAAAATTTAAAAACAATATTTGGTCATCATAAGGAACAAAAAATATCTAATCACTTAACAACTGTGAGAGTCAAAGTAATACTAGAAAAAATATTACAGGATTATATATAAAATGAACTGGAAATGTATGAGAAATTGGCTTCTTGTGTTAGGAGAAAACAAAAAGAATATACTTATCATCTCCCCTCAGCCTCTCAAGTGGACTCACACCATGAACACAGTCACCTGGAAACCTAATTTAGTCCTATACATCCAACATCAAGACTATCAAGACTTCTACTTTCTCAAGTATATCTTCTAAAAGCCCTCTAGCCCCTATTACCATGCTCTTACTTAGTGCCCAAATTATCATAAATCTCCCCTCCCCTAGGTATTCTTGTGATACATGATTCTTAATTCTTCCATTACTCAGGCTTCAAATTTATCTATATAAAACAAAAACCTACCCACTTCTCCTTGGTAAAAAGTTCAACAGCTTCCAGTGGGCATTAGAATAAAAGCCATAGTCAACTTGTATCCAACTTGTAAAGGCCTACATCATCTGGCTCTTGGTCCCCATGTACCACTTCTACTCAACTGAGGGCTCAGCAATGCATTCCGAATCAGTTGCTTCTAAGTGCCCATCATGTTCTAAGTTAATTTTGGGTTTCAATCTTGCTTTATGTAACTATTTTCATTAGTAGTTCCACTTCTCTACCTCCTGTAACTCCTTATCCTTCTCCACTCCAATTTCACTTGGAAAGTCATCACTGAACTCCACTCCCAATTCCCCACTGGCACATCTCTGTTGTGTGTTGTGTAAACTTGCTACCATTTAGAATAAGTGTCTTGAGATTTCCATTTACTTTGCTAGATCATAAGATTGTTGAAGTAAGTTGAATCATCATTGACCCTGAAATTAGTCTAATATTTACAGATAGCCCAATATATGAAATGCAATGTCTGTAAGATGAATAAAGGAGTATTTTCCTACATATAGAACTAGGAGGACAAAACAGCATCTTGTCCAACACAATACAAAAATAAGAATTTCATGATACCTAAGGTCAACTCTCAAGCCCTTACTTTAGTTGACTCCACTTTTATCCCTCTCTATAAACTGACCATCCATGGTGAAATGAAGACTTCAGGTAGTAATAATAATTAATAGCTATTTAACTATCTCATTTAATTCCATCAGCTTTCCTTGAGACAGCTGTGAGCTCTGTTTTGTTCTTGTAAAATTAATGCATGTTGAAATGAAATGATTTAAACACAGTTCTTTTTGGTTCAAAAGTTTTAGTAACTCACGCCAATCCAATCAGGCAAAAGCCCAGAGTGGAGCAACGGAAATGGATGGTGAGCCAGCCTTAGTCTGGGAATGGGTGGAGACTGATTCCTACTGCATGAGGGAGAGCAGACCTAATTTATGATCTCTAGATAGGCTGACTAGACTCCAGTGGAAAAATCTGCACCAAAGGACAACAGGGTACAAATGCTTGACTGAAGAGGATGTAACACATATGATGAAATACATGAGGTCCTGTGGGAGAGGCATGAATGGGGAGGGGGTCTAAATTTGATTAAGAACTATTTTATGAAATGTACAAAAGCTCAATAAAAAATTTAAAAAGCACGTTTTAGTGACAAACTGTCAAATTTGAAGTAGAGCACCTACTTCAAGGTCATGGTTTCAATTTCTTGACCCAAACTTTCCCAAACTATGGCCTCCACTCACTTCCTCACATTTTCATCCCTTTCTTCACTCCTTCAGTGGCAGGAAACACTTCTCCTTTCTGTTATCAGGATGCTATTCTCTTCTGGATTTCCTCACAATCATTCCTGTGGCCATTCCTCCAGTCTTCTTCACAAGCTTCTCTTCTATCTCCATTGACCCTTTAAATGTCCTCCATCTTTCTACAACTTTTCTGAGAAAGATGACACCCACTCACAGCCTGTCCAGCCATGACTCTCTTATCTGTCTGTCCAACCCAGTTCTCACTCATATGTATGTGGTTCCATAGGTGAATAACAAACTAAAATAATAAAATTAGTTTTTACCTTTACCTGTTTTCTTATTCTATGCTCTATTTCTTCACAAACAGCAATTTTAACTGCTTGTCAAGGCTAAAACACATTAAATTCATCTTTCACTTTTTTGGTTTCCATCATTTATCACAGTCAAATGATTTTCCAGTCTACATGGTATTTCTCCTTAGGAACTAACAGATCTGCCCCATTGTCTAGTTACCATAATCCTTAGGAACTAACAGATTTGCCCCTATTCTCTAGTTACCATAATCCTTAGGAACTAACAGATCTGCCCCTATTCTCTAGTTACCATAATACTTAGGAACTAACAGATCTGCCCCTATTCTCTAGTTACCATAATCCTTAGGAACTAACAGATCTGCCCCTATTCTCTAGTTACATAATCCTTAGGAACTAACAGATCTGCCCCATTCTCTAGTTACCATAACCATTGCTTTCACTTAGACAATCACTATTTCTTATCTAGTTTTCTTTGTTTCCTAACTTCCCTCAGCCTACATTCCACAATGCCAAGGGACTGATTTTTCCCTAATAATTATCGATTCCAACGATATTTTTAAGTTTTTAAAGGTTCATCATTTTCTGTGATATAATCTTGGAATTTCTAGTACTATCTGGAAATAACTAGCATAGTCTTTCACCACCTTTCCTGTATTTCCTTTGTTCTCTTACAATTCTCTCTCCTACTTCCACACTTCTGAAGGTCCTGTAGGGCCCCCAAACTTCATGTCTTCTCATGCATTTTGCCCTTCACATACCTAAAACCCCATACCTAAAACTCTGGGTATACTTCTATCCACAGCCTAAGTATGTTAAATATAATGCACTATTCAGGGCTCAGCTGAAGCATTAACTCCTTGCTAATCCTCACAATACAATCTGAATTAAACATCTCTCTTACAGTCTTCCTCTATTAATATAATTATCACATTAAATCATGATAAATTTCTCTTATTTCACCCCTAAATTGTTAGATAATCAATGCAATTAAAAAGGAGGCCAGTTGTCTCCCTTGTAATTGGAAATGTAAATTGGTAAAGCTATTTTGTTAGTTTGGCAATACCTAGTAATACTAAATTCTTATCATATTTAACACTACTAAGAATCTCTTCCATAGGAATATTCAAATGTGCAAATATTCTTTGTAGCATTGATTATAATAGCAAAAATTATTAAAAATAATCATTCATATATTTTAAGTTCTGAACTTAGAGACATGTACTGCTAAGTAGATGAAAGGCAATTCGTGGAAAAATATTAAAGCATGACATGACATATTAGGATTCAGCCTGTCTCCAAATTGACATGTGGAGATACATGTAGATATATGGGGGAATCTGGAACAGCTATACTAAGTACTCAACAATCATTAAATGGAGTTAAGGGAATAAAATTTCTCTAAGCTTTTTCTATACACATTCAATGTGATAACATACACTCCTGTGTTCTATTAAAAAGAAAAATACAACTAATTATCAGGATTTTAAAAAATGGAGTTGTAATACAATCAGACTGCAATAGTTTTAAACAGATTTTTTGAAAAGTGATCACTTTTTCTAAGGATAAGGACCACAGAAAGTGCTCATTCTGTGAATCCTAAGTACAATTTTCTTTTAAAGATTTTTTTGTCTGCTTTTTTTTTTAGTAAAAAAAAAAAATGTACCTATAAAGCTGTGTTCTAGTCAAATAAGAACTCTGCTTAAAAGAACTTGCTCCTCAGAAAAGATTTTTCATCAAAGTTCTAGTGTTTAAGAGTCAAATTATTTTAAACAAATAATGTTGGTTAATGGAGGATCGTCTGAAAAATTAATAGGTGAAGATTACATACCTTGTTTTTAAAATACACCTCAATTGGCAATATGAAACCAGCATACCCAGATTCTTCTACTTTGTAAGGTGGATCTTTGCACACTGTAACATTAAAAAAAGAAAACAGGAAAGATGAATAGATTTTAGACATTGTTTAAGAAAAAAACATTCTGCCAACTTGCCAACTTCATAGTTTCATCTCTGATCCATTCTTTATTTCTTCTTTCCAGAATCTATAACAATACTTTCAGTATCTAAAGTATTTTTATTAAAATCTACAGAGTGAGTATCCATGGATAGGGCTCCTATATTGAACCTACCCATGGCTCAGGGACAATTGCAGAAGAGTGGGTGGAAAGATTGTAAGAGCCAGAACTGGTTCATTAACACAGGGAAGCAGACACTTTCAGGTCACTGGAAGTTTGCATATATGAACTTGTGGCAGTGGTGCCATCGAGCACAGGACCCATGCCAACTCAACTCAACTCTCTCCTCCCTGAGTGGAGGAGAGAGATCAATGGTGAGCCAGCCCCAGACTGAGAGTTGTTGAAGGCTGGTTGCTGCTGGGTAAGAGAGAGTATGCCTTGCACATGATCTCTGGATGGACTGACTGGACTCCAGTGGATGAATTTGCACTGAAGGGTATTTGGATGGAAATGCTTGATTGAACTTACCATGTGTAGCAGAGTGCATAGGGTCCAGTCAGGGAATAGGGGAGGCATGGATAGGGGAGGCGGTCTGGGTATGAGATCTGAGATCTGTTGTATGAGAATACAGAGGCTCAATGTGATGTTTTAAATGAAAATGCCCTCATAGGCTCCAAGTATTTGGACATTTTGTCCCTAGTTGGTTGAGCTATTTTGGGAGATCTTAAAGGTGTGGCTATGCTGGAGGAAGCATGTCACTGGGAGTGGGCTTAGAGAGTTCTTAAGCCATGCTGGATCTCGACTTGCCCTCTTGCTTCCTGTGCCTGCTTGAAGATGTAGAGCTAAGCTTCTGCTCCACCTCCAGCCACCTCTGACACCATGCCTCCCCACTGAGATGGACTTTTGCCTCTTTGGATCCATAAGCTCAAATAAACTCTTCCTTCTATATGTGGCTTGGGTCAGAGTTTCTCTCGCAGCAACAGAAAAGTGACTAATACACTCAATAAATAAAAAATATCTTAAAAAAAAATTCTTAAATTGTGCTGTGCCCATTCCCCTACATTGGGACCATGTGTGGCCCCTCCCCATGTTCCAGGGTTAGGCTTCTTGGTCCCTTAGTAGGGGCTCAGACCTTTACAGACTGCCTGAGAGTGCCTAAACCAGGCTTCCCCTTAGCAACCTTCCCAAATGGTGATATGACTGCTCACAAGCAGGTGCCTAGACCTTAGGAGGAAGCCTGAGAGTACCTGACTGGCATCTGACTTGGGCCTCTGCAGGAGTTCCTGAGTAGTTGACCTGAAGCCTAGATCAACCAGCTTTACATACCCAATAAGAAAACAACCAAGGCACACCAATAATACAAACAGAAACAGACTTCAACTCAACACAGGAAGGCTTGAGTTTAATAGCAGAAACACAAATAGAGGAAATCCACATGCCAAAATCACAATAGAAAAATAATAAAATGGAAAACCAAAATTGTATGTCCCCACCACACATCACCAATCCTATAGAAGAGTTCTACAAGGAGAACCCCCTAGAGATAAGCCAGGACACAAAATTTAAAAGAACAAACCAAAACAAAACAAAACAAAACAAAAGAACAATGATGAACACGATCAAAGCATTGAATGAATTTAAAGAACACACAAATCAAAGAACTAAAAGAAGATAGGGAGAAACGTCTGGCTGAATGCACAAAAGAGATACAAATACTGAAGAAAACTCAGGCTGAAATGAAGAAGGAAGCAAAAATCTCAGGAAGCCAATTTGAAACAATGGGAGAAAGCCTCACCAATTGAATGAATGAAATGGAAAGACTGGAAAATAAAGCTGAAAAATTGGAACACTCAAGCAAAGACACCAAAATGTTTTTAAAATACAGGAATGGAATATGTAAGAAATGTGGGACACCATGAAAAGACAAAATCTACATAGCATAGTCATGGAGGAAGGAGAAGAATTTCAGGTTAATGGTTCAAGAAGATCTTAAACAGGATTATAGAAGAAAATTTCCCCCAAATTAAGGAAAGACATGCCCATACAGATACAAGAAGCATATAGAACAGAAAAGAAACCCAACAGGGCATATCATAGTAGAAACATTAAATGTACAGAACAAAAACAGAATATTGAATGCTGCAAAAGAAAAACAATTCACATATAAAGGAAAGCTCATCAGAATTACAACTGACTTACCAAAGAAAACTATGAAACCTAGGAAAGCCTGGACCAATATAATCCCAATTTTAAATGACCAGAGATGCCAATCCAGAATACTTAACCCAGAAAAAAATGTCTCTTATAGTTTAAGGGGAAAAAAAAAATCTTCCACAACACGAACAGGCTGAAAGAATACATGTCCACAAAACCAGTCCTTCAGAGAACACTTGAAGAAATACAAGAATGGAGAAAGGAACAAGTATACCCAAGGGGCAACAGAAACTAAATGGAGTTATAATTGTGCAAACACAAAATTTGAACAAGAATGCAAACAAATTTAAATGCTGGCAACCAATACACATCTTTCAATAACTTTAAATATCAATGGACAGAACTCCCCAGTCAAAAGACACAGGCACTACAGTCTGAGCAACTCCAATCTCCCTGACCCCACATACTGATCTCCTTCTAGCCTTGGGCACAAGCCTGCTTTTGCTCTGAGCACCCCAGTATCTGGACTACCATCTTAGTCCAATGCACCCATTGCATCCAGATCTTCTGCACTCAGACCAGCTCATTTTTCAGACTAGTTTCCTAAAATCTTAACAGGCTGTCCCCACCTCCAATATGCCTTCCATTCCCCCAGACCAGCCTCCTTTCCTGGTAATTCTGATCCTGCTGATCTACTTCATATTGATTCCTCTACAGTCTGAGCAACTCCAATCTCCCAGACCCCAAATCTTGTTCTCCTTCTAACTTTGGGGACAGATCCCTTTTGCTCTTAGCTCCCAAGAGCTCTGGACTACCCTGTTAGCTTCATGTGTTGGTGAGCTCACCAAATTGCATCTTGCCCATCCCCCCACACTGGGACCATCTGCAACCCCTCCCACTGCTTCAGGGCTAGGCTTCCCTGCCCTTTAGGAGGGGCCCAGACATGGGCAGACTGCCTGAGATCCCCTGGATCCAGCCTCTGCCTAAAAAGCTTCCTAAACTGTGGTGTGCCTGTTGGCTAGAGGCACAAAGACCTTAGGAAGAAGCCTGAGAGCAAGTGATTCTCACCTGACTTGGGCCTCTGTGAGAATTGGAATACAGCTATATGGTCACTAAATATAAAATCAAAAGCGAGAACCTGAAGCCTAGATCAACAAGCTTTTCACACCCAATTTTAATAAAAAAACGCATATCAAGTATACAAACAGAAACAAACCTCAACTCAACAAAGGAAAGCTTAATGCTCGCATTGGAATCACAAACAACAAAAGAAATCCACTGGCCAAAATCCCAAACAAAAAAACAACACGAAAAATCCAAATAATATGTCCCCATCAAACACCAAGGATACTAGAGAAGAGTTTTGCAATGAGAACCTCCTAGAGATAAAGAGGACACCAAATTTAAAAGAACAATCATAAATATGATCAAAGAATTCAATGAATTTAAAGAACACACAAATAAAAGAACTAAAGGAAGATAGGGATAAACTTCTGACTGAATTCACAAAAGAGAGAAAAATTGAAGAAAACTCAGACTGCAATACAGAAGGAAGTGAAACACACAAATCAATTAGAAAAGACAGAAGAAAGCCTCACCAATAGGATGAATGAAATGGAAAATAGAATTTCAAGACTAGACACTAAAGTTGACGAATGAGACCACTCAAGCAAAGATTATGAAAAACTTAAGAAAACACAAGAATGGAATATGCAGGAATTGTGTGACACCATAAAAAGACCAAACTTGCTGGGCGTGGTGGCGCAGATCTCTGTGAGTTCAAGGCCAGCTTGGTCTACATAGTCAGTTCCAGGACAGCTGGGTCTACAGGGAGACCCTGTCTCAAAAAGACCAAAAAAAAAAAGACCAAACTTGTGAATCACAGGCATGCAGGAAGGAGAAGAATCTCAGGATAATAGTATAGACCAGATCTTCAACAGGATTGTAGAAGAAAATTTCCCAAAATTAAAGAAAGACATGCCCATACAAATACAAGAAGCATATAGAACACCAAATAGACAGGACCAGAAAAGAAACCCTCCACAGCATATTACAGTTAAAAACCCCAAATGTACAGAACAAAGAGAGAATACTGAAAGTAGCAAAAGAAAAACAAGTCCCATATAAAGGAAAACCCATCAGAATTACAGCTGACTTATCAATGGAAACAAAGAAAGCCGAAAGAGCCTGGCTCAAAGTATTCCTGGTACTAAATGACCACAGATGACAACATGGAATACTTTACCCAGCAAAAATGTCTATTATAGTTGAAGGGGAAAGAAAAATCTCCACGACATGAATAGGCTGAAAAAACTCATGTCCACAAAACCAGCCCTTCAGAGAGTTCATGAAACAATACAAAGAGCTGAAGAAGGGAGTGATTACACTCAAGGGGTAACAGAAAGAAAGTAAATGAAGGTATAATTGTGGAAAGAAAAATTTAGACAAAGAATGTAAAGAAATTGAAAGCACAGGAACAAATACACATCTTTCAATAATAACTTTAAATACTAATGGACTGAACTCCCCTAGTCAAAAAACAGAAGTTGGTTGAATGGATTAAGAAACAAAACCCATCTTTTTTGCTGTCTCCAAGAAACCCATCTCACCTTCAAGGACTTGCCTTAAACTGAAAGAAAACAATAGTATTCCAAGCAAAAGAAACTAAGAAGTAAGTGGGAGTTGCACTTGCATTATCTGACAAAATGGACTTCAAACTGGAAGTAATCAGAAGAGATAAAGAGGGTCACTTCATTCTGATCAAAGGAATAATTAACCAAAACTATATTACAATCATGAGCA